AGGGTAGAAATTTTCTAGAGGTGGCTCATCTTCTGCCCAAACCCCTTCCTCTGGCTATCCCTAGGCCCAGGGTGGGTTCTGAGGGTAGTCATCTCCTGGTGCAGTGTGCCACTGTCCCCCACCCCCCACCTAGCCACACTGGAGGTTTACCCTGTGTGACCTGATATCTCCTTATAACTCCTAATTACATGAAGACTATATAGAGTGACCATAGGTGAGTGTGGACTCAGTCCTCACATTTAGATGCGTGTAGATAGGAGATATGGTCTTGGCACCCCGAGAGCCTGCGGTCTAGATCGTGAGCTCTCTCCATATATAAACAGATACTGATGAGTTACTGGAAGGGTAATGAAACTTGTGCTGGCTTTGCCCTGAGGCGGAGTCACCCTGTTTGTCTGTTTAGACCCCTTCCAACCCCACCCAGGTACATGCCGCCTACCGGCGACATCGACATCCCCGATTACAACCCCCTCGAACACGACGAGCAAGCCTACCGCGATTGGTCTCTCCGCCGACTCGAAACAAGAGAGTCTCTTCGACTTTATCGGCTTTGGCGTAACTGGGTAACCGTGAATAAAAAGAAGAACCACTGTTACAGGGAAACATACCTGCTTCTTCACATACGCACACAGTATGATTTATTCTCACTATTTGAACACACTCACACACACACCCTGCCCTAACGGGCAGGGAGTGTGTGTTCGAACCATTTTGGCTAGGTGAGTAAGGTGCTGTAGGCTCAATTTCAATCTCTTTTGCTAGCTAGCATACCCTGATTTTCCTGATGTTGGTATCTGGTATATACAGTGAACTGAGTGGGGATGAGGAAAGTAGGGTCATAGGGCATAGAAAAGGAGGCCTTTGTATTCTGATTTTGTAGTTTTATCAGGATATCAAAAAGAGAACAGAAAGTTTGTGAGTAACAACCATCAGCAAGTGCTAACAGCTGGCTACATAGGGTTGCTTGAGAGAATAGTGGGATCCCAGACATTGCCACAGTGCCCATTCTCACAGTTGCTACAGAATAATGGCCTGTCAAGCTCCACAATCACTGCATTTGCCTGCCAGTATGGATCATGTCTGAGGATTGGGGGGATATACCTGTGAATAAGAATGCAAGGTTTGTTCCATTCAGAATTGTCCACTGGCAGGTATTTGCCTGTTAGGGTCACCATCTGTTCTGCTGAAAGCAGCATCTCATACTCTTTAAGGACAGAATCATCAAAGCGATCAAATACTGCATATTCCATGCCCATGTCTTTGGCTTTCTTGAATTCATTGAAATTCCAGTTTGTTCAAAAGTATGCATGCTCGCCAAGGGATCTTGCAAACATGGTTTTGCCAATTCGAGTTGGACCAGTTAAGACAAGTGACTTGG